ATTTACATGGTGGTTATAATTAAAGTTCCAATTTGAAATGGTCATAAAAGGAAAACTACCGGACCAAATGTTATCAAACTTGGGAATCGTGTAAAGGAGGTTATGGGAATTTATTTTCCGCGGAAAAAAAAAAAGAGTTCAAAAAACTCACCACCAGGGAAAAATGGCGCTGTATACAATATTGTTAAATGAAATAAGACACGAAAACATCTGTTTAAAATGTGTTTAATATTTTCCGAAACGTGTTACAAAGCATGTTCAATGTAGCGTCCAGCATTTTCCGAAAGCAAGTTAAATCCTGTTACTGCATTCTCAACAGCAGCTCTTAGCATATCAGGAGGAATGTTACGGACATGTCAGTGTATCACATTTTTCATTTCTGCCAAATTGTTTAGATTATCACCATAAACAGTGCTTTTGAGATAACCCCATAGCCAAAAGTCACAGAGGTTGAGGTCTGGTGGGAAGAGGGGAAGTGTTGGCCTATAAGACGTTCATTCGTGAAATGTTGCCTAAGTAACTACGACACACTGTGAGGTGAGGTGGGCCCCAGCCCTGCATAAAAATCGGAGTATCTAAAATGCCACGTTACTGCAGTTCATGTATCATGAAACATTTTAACATTGACTCTAAGTGAGCTGCAATCACAGTGGTCCAGCTGTCGACTGCTCTTCAGAGAAAAATGGTTCAGTTATAAAACTAGCTGTCATTCAACACTAAACGGTGTGGAATGACTGCTATGCAATCGAATGCAGTAGGAGAATGCAATGGAACTAGATAGATAACATGAGGAATTTCTTTGGCCCAAATCGATTAAAAGCGTTTTGAATCAGTATCTTCATGTTTTAGTGCCGAATTCAGGCTTCAAAAATTACAAATTAGCGATCTGTAAGAAAACGATTTCCAGATTGTACGCACTTGTGCGAGTGATTTGCGATCTCACATTTTCTAATCGCTAATTCGTGGTTTTCATGGACTAATTTCTCACTTACACGGGTGGCGCACTCGACTTTTATCGAATTTAACGCTTTTAAATGGTAATTTGCCTACTTCAAAGTTTCTTAAGGGTATACAACATATTAAACCCGTGTAACAAAAGGTTAAGTTAGATTCCGACCCATATTTCGTTTAACAATATTGCATACAGCGCCATTTCCCCCCTGGTGGTGAGGTTTCGAACATCCTTTTTTTCGCGGAACATAAATTCCCATGACCTCCTTTACACGATTACCAAGTTTGATAACATTTGATCCAGTAGTTTTCCTTTTATGATGACCGTTTCAATGTGGAACTTTAATTATAACCACTCTGTATATTATTAAATTTTAATTTGAAGCTATGCGTTATATGTATACCATGCGTAAAATTTTCGCTTTTATGGAAAAAATAAAGAATCGAAGCAAATATACTTAGGATAATGGACCAAAACTGAAAAAATTTCCCCTCCCTCCGAAAATAAAATATTGAAACTTCGACCTTGAATTTATTGGGTTATCGAAATATTTAATTTGACTTATCTTCTAAGTCCTAGTTCCGACAACAATTCCGTCAAAAATTCCGAATTACTGAAGCTGAAAGTAAAAGATTTAGTATATATTCACTGTATGTTAATAAAGTAATCAGAGTGTAATAAAAATAGATTATAGAATTTACGCTGATGCAACTTTTTGTCTGACTGCACAACATGTAATGGAAGAGAAGGCTTGTAGAGATCTGTTTTTGACATGCCTCTAAAAGTAGATGTCATACTCCTTTTGTCTCTTCAATGTCAAAAAACTTTCCTTTGAGAGGCAACTTTAGTTTTTGGGAAAGAAAAAAAATCACAAGAAGACAAATTTGAAGAACATGCAGGACGATTGAGTACACATACTTATTTTCGGAACACAAGCGGTTCTCCGACTGGTTATTGAATAATGAAAAGATGCATTGTCATGCAATACAAAACATTTGGAATACGTTTTCTGACTGAAAACGTAAGATTAAAAGTCATCTGCTTAATTCACAGCCATTTACAAGTCAACTACTCGGGCAATTGCAGAATCGTTTTGATCCTGAGCTTGTAAGACAAACCTAATATCACTGGATTTAAACACTTCTTTAATCTTCCGAGAACGTTCCTTCTTTAGCTCATATTCCAAGAATATTAAGTGAATACAATTATTGCAAAAGAAATTGAATATTTTGCACTACGGCTTGGTAGTTTACTAACGAGTTAACAAAACTTAAATTCTGCTTTTTGTGTCTAAGAATACAACAATATTTTAAATATTTACAAATAAAATATTAAATTTGAGATTTAATTGGAGCCTCACCAGTTGCCTAGCATTTTTAGATTGTTTAATACGAATTGTTTGCTGCGACAGAAAGTTTTTTGAAATATTTGCAATTACTTTATAAGAAGTATTTATTAATAACAGTAATAATTACTTATTATATTACTGATGATTAGAGAATTCAGTTCTTGACAATTACATTCTAAATTAGAATGTTAAGGATATAATGAAAATACGCTACGCATAAAAATACATTTTAGAATTAAAAAATGAGTTGATTTTTTATGTTTTAAAACTTCTTAAATTCATTTAATAAACATCGTATCCTCGTTGTTAATTGAATCCAGAATGTTGGTGTCGTTTATATAATTATTCTTACTTGTCCACAGAACCTGCTGACTTATCCAGCCATTAAGTAGCTGCAGATCATTTCTACATAACCATTGAACTTCCATTAATTCAGTCTCTAGAGGGTTGTATGTTTATATCATAATTTGACTTTTATAAAAATGATTATTCTAAATCTTATGTTTCTATAAAAATATACTGTGCTTTAAAAATATGGATGATAATATCAGCCACTTCATAAGCAACAGCTTGTTTAGAAATAAATTATGCAGTTAGTGTCGTAAAATATTTTAATAAAATTCAAATAAACATCAAACGAAAGTTCTCAGTTTTAGATAATTCGATTTAAACAAAGTTAAAGTAAAGTATGAGACGATAAAACGCCGAAGATAAAAATTTACTCCTACAAATATTTTTTTAAAAAAAAGGAAAAAAGAGAGAAATTAAAAAAAACAGTTAAAATTTTGAATAATATTACCTATAGTTTAAAAAATAGCTTGTCATACAGTATTAATAAATATTTATTACGCATCATTGACAGAAAAAATTTCATATAATTAATTCTCCGTAAAATTTTATTTGAAATTTAAGATTAAAAATAGCTGTGGCAATTAACTGTAACAAAAATCCATAAACCACATTTGGCGTTATTATTGCTCAAAAAAAGATGCCAAATTTCAAAACGCGAAAATATGTAAATTTTGTGTATATCTTAGAAAATTTTGAATAAAAAAGTCTAATTTATTGCAGGTATGTTTAGAAATACACCTACTTTAAGATGATGGTAAAAATTTTATAGGTTATAATTCAAAATGTTTTTTCGAAAAATTTATAAATTTATTTCAAATTAACAATTTTAAATTAAAATAGAAATTTAAAAAATAAAACACAAAAAATGGGTAAATTTTATTTGGAATGAACCTAAATTTCGAAATGTGAAAGGAAAAAATCAAAAAAGGTTTAATAAAAAAAGAGATATTAATAAATATTTGCCAAATGCAATTAACATTGAGGAGCTAAAATTTTGAGAGCTAATATTTTGAAAACTACTCGTACGATTTTTACAAAACTTGGCATTATGGCATAATTTGAGTCGTAGAAATGAAATATGGAAGAAAATTGGTATGTTAGTTCAGAAAAAGTCCAATTTTGTGTCAAAACACCTATGTTAGAATAGTGCTATATATAAATCTAATATATATCCTAAGTCGCGCATTCCAGAAATGAGAAACGCAGTTTGAATTTTGTCAATCGGCCCAGTAGAACGGGAGATATAAATACTGTCCACCCCCCCCCCTTTTTTTTTTTTTTTTTTTTTTTTGAGCAGTGTACATTAAAATTTTCAAAAACGAAAACTTGAAGATTAAATTAAAGAGTGTTTTTTAGCTGGGTAATCAGTTTGAAAGAACTGATCAATATGCTGCGATTTCTGACAGATAAATTTCATTCTGATCCTCCATACGCCTCACTTTTGTACTTATATTTCCCGTAAAAAATTCAGCCTTTTAAAATGTGTCGGAGAGGACTTTGCTATCCGTAAACCCATTGTTCGCCACGGTGTAAAAATAGACATTCTAAATTATCTCCCAAGTTATTTTCTAAAACGCTTAATAGAATGTAATATGTTTTATTGGCACCAAATAAAAAGACGTAGAATTAAACCTGGACCTTTGAAATAACCCTGATCTATAGAAATACCAAAATAATATTTATTTAATTATTTACACTAACTTTAGAGCACCTTCGAAGTTTTGATGAGTATTCTGTATAACTTTGATAAGTACTTGTTGATGATTATATTTGAATATATACCCCATACGGTTTAGAAATTAAATTTGCAAATGCAATTTAGAAATTAAATTCGTACATATGTTGTGATGCAAGAGATAAGTAGGAAAAGGAGAATATATCACGTTTATGTTTTTGCAATAAAAATCACTTTCTTTTCTAATTACTGGTATACTTAATTTATTTAGAAATTAATTAGATAAATAGCATTAACGTGGTTAAATAATGGATAAAGGAAATCACTTGATAATAATGTGAAGCATGTACTTGTAATTAAATAAACAGTGTTGATGGTTTCCAATTAGAGCAGTAATTCATTAATAGAACAGTAGTTAATTTATTTATAAATTAATTAGACATGTAACTTCAATACAGCTAAATGAAATCGCTTCGCACGGAATGTTAATGACCTAGATAGTGTAAATGCTTAGGTGTACATTCGAAGCATCTACTTTTAGAGTTATACAATCACCAATACAAAGCGACTACTTACAAATCTACTTACGTCACATGATCTTCACTGCAAAACATATACATGCACCAACTATAAATTCCTTTCCGTTTTTCTTTCCTACCTATTGTAACTGAAAACAGAACTGGCATCCTAAGCAGTGTTTGTCGCCTATCGCTCAAGTACCGAACGCTATTTCAGGAAGTTTCCTGAAAATTTAATTACTTCGCGCTTCGATACCCATAGTAAGTCTATTTAATTTTAGTTCGTTTTTCTTGCTCAAATATATTTATCTAAGAATTGTTAATCAGTATGTCTCGATAATCATGAGGCCCCTGTTTATTTTCTTTTCAGAATTTTAAGCTAACTTAAATTTAAGAGATGAAATTTCTTTAATCTACGTATTACAACTTTCGTTTCCTTAATTCACATCAGTTTTGATATTAGAAACATCTACAGCATAGCTTTTCAGCGTTTCTAGGCTCTTCTTATTACTGCTAGGGTATTTGTCGTTCATGCGGCTTGGCAAGTGTTGCTAGGTCTTCTGTAATACACATATAAGATCTGCACTAAATCGTTCGCGCTATCTAGCAAACAGCCAATTTTGTTACTCAATGGGACAGGATGTCTTCAACCAGAGGGGAATTCTCCCTCAGGGAATTTCATAGTTTCACGGGGAGGGGAATGTGGCTATTCGTTTACCTGTTAATAATTTAGTTTCAGTTTATGAACATAAAAACTACTTTTATTCAAATTTTGGTTTGGTTGGTTTATTTAGCTATGGCAAAGCACTCAAGGATACCTACCTAAAAGAATGGATGCTTTCGTGGAGGACTTCTAAGGGAAACTGTCTCGTGTACACGTTACACATAGGGAAAACTACGGAAATACCCATGCATCAAGGCCGTTCGCCGGGATTCGAGCCCCGGACTGAACTACTAGTGTTCAGCGACTTTATCGATCGGCCGCTGGTGGGCACTTTCAAATTTTGGTATTTATTATTGGATTTATTAACTTTTCCTATATTTTTCTCGTTTAATATATAAAACACATTGAAAAAAATTTTAATTTAAATAAACGTATATGTATTTTTCGAGTTTTGGGAAGGAGGGGCAATGATTGTCCAGCAATGTGAAAGGGGTACATTTGGCAAAAAAAAATTACAACCTCTGGTTTATACTTTTAACCCTAACATTTTAACCAAATGAGTGATTTGAAAGCAGTGAGAGAATATTCTTCGTGAAGCAATGAATTATTATTTTTAAAAATTTGCATGTTTACTTTATTTTTTAATCGTATATATGCTCTAATCAGTAATATATCAAACTGATGTCTTTTATGGATATTTGCACAGTTCCCTTTTTAAAAAGGAGTATTTCTAAAGACATACGATACATGTCCCGTACACAATGATAATTAATACTCCATTTAAAAACGAATCATATTTCATTTGCTTTGATTCTCTAGACGTTGAATTTTAGGTAGGAAAGTACTTGTTGTCTTGACCATGAATTTCATGGAAGAATTGTTGCCAGAGCCTCAAGGAGGTTGGGCTTCTACTTCCACCGCAATTTTGAATTTTGAGGGAGAGCACACTGGGGATAGTCCGAAGGTCTCCCACCCCTGTCCCCTTCCACCAAACCACACAAGAGGACTTTCGATTCGCCATATATTTAGATTGCTCCCATGCCGCAAAGATACAATACATTTACAAACATCCATGCCTTCTCCGGGATTCGTACACGGGCCCTTAGGTACCGTAGTAGGCTCCCCTAACCACTACACCGTTTTGTACGGAAGCAAAGTACTTAATCGCACTTACTAGGTTTCTCCCGAACGCTTACACTGTAGCCATAATTGCTCTAATTTTTCCTCGTCGAATTCTGTTATGGTATTTTTAATAAACTAAAAATTTTCAAAAGCAATTAGTTTTTATGCACTTTATCTAGGCAGACTGATGAAATATACGTAAATAAACTGCTATTATGTATCAATGCAGAGTTTAATTTGAAAATAACTTCATAATTTTTTTCTTCAGAAATACCTCGCATAGACTAAGAAACCGGTTCCGTCACTATCCTAAAGTATCTGGAACCGGACTAATTGAGGAAATAAATGTATACCAGGGGAAATTGTTGTAATTGGTTCCAAAATAATTCTCCCTCTATGTGTTTCAATGAATAAAACGGAATTAATAAATTCAAATATTTGTATTTCTTTATTTCCAATAATGTGTTCTAGCCGTTTATAAGCGGAAATTCAAATATCTCTATTAGAAATTATTTTCAATATAATAAGATAAGAAAGTTTTCAGTAAATGAGCTCTCATTTGAAACTCATAAAATATTTAATGAACTAATAGAAGAAAAAAACCCTTATCCTATATTTCATGAGAAGAAGCGATTACATAATAAACCAGAGGTGCCTAAATAACGAAATTGACTAATCGAATCGTATCGTCAAACTATATTCTATAAAACATATTTTAACCTTAGTTGTTGTTTTTTTTTTTTTTTTTTTTTTTTTTTTTTTTTTTTTTTTTTTTTTTCCCTTAGTCTCAATGACACTTTGTCAATTAAATTTGTAAAGACATTAGGATTTTTTTGGGGGGGACGCCGGGGAGGGGAAAAATTAGCAACGCCTTCGCCGGAAATCGAACCACGGACCTCTGGAATACGGGCCCAGCGTGCAGAACCACTTCACCACGAAGGCACACTCGGAAGGCAGGAGAAATACCTTATATACTCCCGCTTTTAAAGAGCGACTGGAGTTTTTAGGGAACCCAGTCGATAAATCCTGGGTGAGGAGAATCATCATCCAACACTCTTTTAGTTCGGGCGGCACTGTAGAGACATTAGGTTTTTTTTTGGGGGGGGAGGCCGGAGAGATGAAAAATTAGCAACGACTTGCCGAGAATCGAACCACGGATCACTGGAATACCGCCCTAGCGTGCAAAACCAGTACACCACGAAGACACGCTAGGATGGAGGGAGAAATACCTTATAAATTATTCAGTTACAAAATCAGTCTTTTACTCCTAACAATTCTGTTACATCAAGTAGCCCAGAATATATCGAGCGACTTCCAAAAGTTCCCCAAAATATCATATATTAATTACAAAATTCATATAAACTTCATTTAGGAAACACTTTTTTAGCTCATTGTGCAAATGGTGGAATTCTGAGGTCTTCAGCCTTTTCGTTAAAGAGTATATGTGTAAAAAATTGTTTCAATATTAAATTAAATAAACTCTAAATAGAATTTTACAAAACATATTGTAGCACCACATTGTGAATTGTCAAGCACAATGTGTGCAAAATTTGAGCTGCATAACTTTTGAAAAAAGGTCAATACTCAAGTTTTGCCGTAGTTGTATTTTGCAGAGATTGTGCATGACACCACATTGTCTATTGTCATGCACAATGTAGGCAAAATTTGAGCTGCATGACTTTTGAGGAAATAGTTTAAGTCGATGTCATAGCTTTACCATAGTGACAAACCCTATGGGCGAGTTTAAAAAGCTCTTAAAAGGTACCTAATTTAAAAAAAAAAAAAAAATTTGAAGGTATAATTAAAATTTTTTATCATTTTAGTTTTAAAGAGAGGGAACAGTTTATTTCATAGCATTTGAAAAATTTCAAATAATTTTAACGGATTATTTTAAATACTTAAATTTAACTGTCCCATAAAAGAATAAATTACCTGTTACAAAAAAAATTTAAAAAATCAATAGTTTAAATGAAACGCTGGGGAAAATGCGAATAAAGTTATAAAATGGACAAGCTAAAAACAACACATCAGGTTTTCATTTCAAAAAATATTACCCGCTAACAATCCTTAAAGTCTATTAGTTTGGAGATTAATAAAATAAAATAATTATTAACTGCAAAGAAATTTGTACGCAAGCAGTAAGAATCGTAAGCTTAAACTTTTGTTTCCAAGTGGTGGACATAAGAACCGATTTTCTCTCTCCCATCTGCTTCGAATTGCAATTATTATTTAAAACATATATAAAAAGTGGCCAAATAAATATTTTTATCATTCTTGCTTTAAAAGAGCGCGAAGCCTTTTTTTAATCTATAAAAATTTCAAAAATTTGTAACGATACATTTTTACATGTTGAAATTTAAAATCATAGACATGAAATAGTTGCAAAAATCGAGCGATTTTCGAAAAATTGCAGAAACTTATATCAGGTTTGGTTTCTTTGATTATGGTAAAACACTCGGGACTGTCCGTTTGAGAGAAGGGACGCCTTCGCGGAGGACTTTCTAAGGAAACATGGCTCGTATAGACGTTACATATGCTGAAAACCTCGAAATTACCCATTCCCCTTGATTTGAAGTGAACTGCCACTATTCAGCGATTTTACCAATCAGCCACTGGTGGGCCAAAGTATATCAGCAATCACGTTAAAATTTTTATAAAAATTTTATTTAAAAGTTTTGTTTTCTCCTTATTTGACAGTGCGGACCGAATTTCTGAGTTTTCTAGTTTGTTCGCTAAACGAAGATATATGCTAAATATCATTCCAATAGGAAGGAATACATATATACATATATAAAATTCCATTTGGAAAAAAAAATCGCTTCATCACAATGTATTGTCATCCTCAACGTGTGTGCGTGTGTGCAAAATTTAAACTTCATATTTTATTTGGCAGTTGTTTAAAAATTGATGACAAACTTTAAAATAAAGTGACAAACACAAACAGAGAACTAAATAAAAGGTTATAACAATGCGTGTTTTTTGTTCTGTAAAATTTATAATATGGATTCTCTCACGCTTCTTTTTGGCCTTACACCTCACCCCCCCCCATAAGTTTCTCTGTAGCAACGAATTGCAGTGCATAAAGCAGGGGTAACCAATCTTTTGAGGAAGAGTGCCACTACTTAAAAAAAAATATTTATGGGTGCCACTTCTAATTTTTCAAGCATAACTAAAAATATAAAAAGGTGAAAACATTTTATTTATAAGCTGATTATGGGACTTTTGCGCAAATAGCACATTTTTTTATGTAAGTTTGAGTAGGGGATATTAAAAAATAGCGTAATAAATACAACAAACAGTCAAAATAAGGTTTTGTTTTCAATAAACATTTTTGAAGCTTGAGTCAGTTCGGTTACACATAAAATAAAAATGAATAGTTTGAAATATTTGATTCTAAATCACTATTAAACACTCAATACTTAATGTGTTTTTTGAATATGTAGTTCTTTTACCAAGTCATACAGTTAGTCAATAA